TGAATTGTATAAAAAGTTCATTTAATATAAACAATTTTATTTTAACTATTTTTTCTATTCATTGATTTTCAAATATCATTTTTACAACATTTATAAACCATTTTAAAAAAAATGTGCAACGCACGTTTAGCTATGATTGGTATAATAAATGTCACATTAAATGAGAATCATTTTTTTGAATGATTTTACCTTTTAAAAAAAAATTTTAATTTTTTTTAATCTTACTACAATTAAATTATTTTAATAATACTTTCATTTGTTTTTCAATATATAATAAATACTACAAAATCCTTGCCATGTATTCATTTAGTGTTATTAATTCTCAATTAATTAACATCGACATTAATCTAAACTTGATGAATTTTGATCATGAATCTAGAGTTATTATAGATAAATTTATTTCTATTCATGTATCTGAAAATTCTAATGGATATTTAAATTCATGTATTAACAATTAATTCTTGTGTACCAAATGTAGAATTAAAAAATTCCTCATTTAAAGTAGTATTTTATCATCATGAAAAGTTTGGATTATATAAGTTGATCAGTTTTGAGAGTATAATTTTCATCTCTTAAATTTATATTCTAAATTTTATTTTCTTTTAGTTCGTTCGAGACTCGTTAAATCATCCCAATAAATTGATATCAAATATTATTTATAATGTAGTAATGAGATATTCCAGAATAACATGTAAAGACGTTGAACTTTGACCGCCATGCCGAAGCATAAAATAAAACCAATTATCACTATCATCACTACTACCTTAAAAGAGTGATCTTAAAATTCATTAACTACCTTAAAAGAGTGATCTTAAAATTCACTATTCATTTTTGTCACACTCCTTTTCACACTTACCCTCTTTAGAACTGGATTTACTACAGTAACCGACCTCTTCTACAGTTAATTGGTGTTATTTGTTGACTAAAGTCTTTTTATCTGGTTTTGCTACAGTGATTGACGCAAAAATGAGCCTTCTTTGTGAACTATTGGGTTGATATAATATCTTCTTCTACGGCCTTTCAATTATTCTTCCATATATATCTCACATGTTTTGGTGTTGGGTTTTCAAATTATTAATATTTTCAGTTCACACCGTAAAGTTCCTTTGGTAAGGTTGCATATTGTTTTTTTTTTTTAATGATAATTTCTTGTGTTTAATATTTGTTCTTTTTTGTAGTTGCAATTGTTTTTTATCCATTGGAATAGCTTTCTGAAGTTGCAATGGTTTGATGCTGGGTTTTCAATTATTAGTCTTTTCACTTCTCACCTTCATGATTTTATTACTTTATTAGATAGTTAATAAGTGAAGATGATAAACATGCATCACTGATGCCATTTTTCTTATGAAACAGTATGATGAATTTAAGCGATTTGATGTTTTATTTATTTTTCTGTGAAGAAAATCGAACATGGATGCAAATATTGTTTACAAGTGGAAAATTCTATTTT